TGTGTGTGTGTATGTGTGTGCATGTGTGTGTGTGTGTGGGGACCAGCCCCAAGGTTTATGATTACAGTGTTTCAATCCGCCTAATAAACTAGAATTTTAAGGATCCCGAGTTGGACATTTGTAGCCAACACTGCTAGCATGGACACATTTGTAGAAGCAATGCACTAGAGCAGGGATTGGCAAAATACAGACTGTGGGCTGGATCTGGCCCACAGTGGATCCCTTGGTCCAACCTGGCCTGGTACTGCCTGTCCCATGGCCACTCCCCAAGCATGCAGCAGGGCTGGGGCTTTCTAGGCAGCCCAGGCAGCGGCAGCTCCTTCCAGCTGCTGCTGCTTCTGGCCCCAGCCCTGCAGTACTGGTGGGGACCCATGTGCACAGCCTCCACCCCAGCCACCCTGTGCCCGCTCCAGACTTGGCTCGGTGGAGCAGACCAGCTCCAGATCAGCTGGAACCTGCATGCACAGCCCCAAACCACCCCACACCTGTTCCAGACTTGCCTGCTGCACTGAGCAGCAGCAGCAGTAGTGCCAGCTAAGCAGAAGTTTCTGCTTGGCACAGAGGAAAAGGGGTCCTGCCCTCTCACTGCTGCTGGGTGCTTCTTGCTGCACACCCAGAGCACATGCCTGGGTTGACCTGTCACTTCTCTGCACTGCCACCTCTTCCCTGCTGGGCATCCCTGAGGTGGCAACAATGGCAGCGGTGAGGAGCAGCAGGGAAGCCCAGGCATAGTTGCAGCAAGTGCCCAGCAGTGGTGAGGAGGAAGGGCCACTTTTCCTCCTCACACTGAGCAGCAACTTCTGCTCAGCTGCTACCGCCACTGCTGCTGCTTAGAGCAGGCGGACAAGTCTGGAGCAGGTGCAGGGCAGGTTGGGACTGTGCATGTGGGTTCCGGCTGGTCCAGACCTGGCCTGCTTCGCTGGGCTGAGTTCAGAGCAGGCATGGGGCAGGATGGGGTGGGGGCTGTGTGCGCATGTCCCTGCCAGTACCATGGGGCTGAGGCCAGTATTACTGGAAGCCAGAAGGAGATGGTTGCTGCTATCCCCTGAGCTGCCTAGAAAGGTGACTGACACAAGCTATACTGGCACAGACAGAAGCATGTTTTGTTGGTATACCTACCCCTCTACTAGGGCCTTTGCTAGCAGAGGTGTGAATCAAGCATTACATCTTATTACGCCCCAGACTGACACAGCTATGCTGTAGACATGGTCAAAGAATGGTAAGGGAGAATGGAAACGGGAGTGCACAGAATCTTTCCAT